AATGCCTAGCGATATTTTGGCTGGCATACCAGGTATTTTCGGTTTGCCTCTCCAGAACCACTGCCCACCCTTCTCTGCCCTGATCTCTGCCCCCAGGAGGCTGACCCATGGGAACTACACCAGCTGCCTTCACATCCTGTGGTTTCTGCTTGAGTTCAGCCCATCTCCAGGGAAGACAGAGAGTGAAGACAGGGTATTTATTCCCTCAGTCACTCCATGAGGGCTTCCTCGACAGTCTGTGGCTCTCCACTGAACGTCACTCCTCCACTGGAGACAGCCCTCTCCACTCGACCTGCTCCTCTGAAGCCTGGTAACTGCCACCTCGCCTCCGTGCCTGGGCTTGGAGACGGGAACAGCAGAGCCTCGAGAACTGCAGTGTGCTATCCCACTCTTTATAAGAGCCCTTCACCAAATCCTCCTCAAATGGGCCTAATTTAGAGAGCCGTCTGCTTCCTGGGTGTTAGATTCTAGGGTGATAGTTATTTGCCCTCATTTCAAGGGCTTGCTTCCTCTCCTGGCTTTGGTACGCTGTTAAGAAGTCTGATGCCAGGCTGACGTCAATTCTTTTGTAAATTACATTTTTTGTTCTCTCTGGAAGCTTTTGGGACCTTTTCCTTATTTGTGGTTTTGTGAAATGTCGAGGTGATGAGCCCTGGTGTGGGTCTGGTTTCATTGGTTGTGTTAGATATTTGCTGGACCATTTGGATCTGGAGATTCATATTCTTCAGTTCAAGGAAAACGTTTTTCATTATTGACTTGATACATCTCCTCAGTGTGTGTTTGGGGGGTGGTCTCCTCACATCAACAATTCTTGAACACCAGCTGGGTGACCTACAATTCAACTCAATTTTGACACTATCTCCCTAGAGACAGCATCAGATTCCATGGGTTAAGGGCTCAGTCCCACAAGACTGCCCTCCACTTCAGGGGTTATCTGGGTTGTCACGTTTTATACCTTGAATTTACATATGTTGTATGTTGGTATCTTAATAGAGCTGGAAAACATTTTTTAATATACATTTGTTTCCTTTCAATCTTTCCCATGTATTTTAAAAAGATAATTGTATATGGTATTTATCAAATTTCAAGAGTAACGTAATATATACATTCACCATTAAAAAACCCCACTTTGTAAACCTAGTTTCATGATGTTTTTCTGAGTGCATATATCATGGTTTACTTAACAATTCTCTTATTGTTTGATATGTTGGTGGGCTCCAAAACTAGTGCTAGAGACATTTTGGGCAAATGGCTTCTTTTTCTATGCTGTCGATTATTTTCAAGAGGGTTATTAGACTGAAATGGACTCCCAGCAGCTATGGACAAGGGAGCCTTGCCAACATTGAATACTTTATTTAAAGTATTGTTTAATTTGATTAACCAAAATGGTTATCTTTACTTTTAAATTTGCTTTTCCTTGATTACTAGAGAGACTTGACTATTTTCTCACGTTGTCAGTCAACCATAACTATAAATTGTATAAGTCCTACCCTTTGTCCGTTCATCGACCTGGGTTTTAGAATTGATTTTTAGTGAGTTTCAGCATACTTAATAACCCCTTGTCATTTAAAAAAAAAAGTTATTGATTTTTTAGAGAGAGAGGAAGGAAGAGAGAGAGCGATCAGTGAGTGATCAGCTGCCCCTGCATGCTCCCTACTGGGGGATTGAGCCCACAGCCTAGGCATGTGTCCTGATTGGGAATTGAACCAGTGACCTCTTGGTACATGGGATGACACTCAGCCAACTGAGCCACACTGGCTGGGCTCCCTTGTCATTTTTTTACTGGGTATTTCAGTTTCCTATTTATTTTGGCATTTTTTTATGTTTTAAAATTTTATATATTTGCATAATTGATCCGTTGATTGGGTGAGGTGTGTGTGTGATGTAACTCACTGATTTTTAGTTTGGAAAATACACCCACGCCCAGAGATTTGACAACCCTCTTATCAGTGTGTTCTCTTATCATTTTATGGCTATCCTTGGATTTACCTAATTATGTGATGTAAAATATTTAAATTATTTATGTACCACAGTAAAGGTGGTAACATCACCAAAAATATTTTTCCCAATAATTTGAGATGCCTCGGTTTAAAAGTATTCAATTCTTATATGGAATTGGGTCTTTTTCTAGAATAAGTATCCTAATACATTGATTGTCGATTTTTGTGCCTCAATCATAGTGATAATTTTTGCAGCCTTATAAAATGTTTTCAAATCCCGTAAGGCTAATTTCTTTTCAACTTTGTTTTCACATATTTATTTGTTATTTTCATGTATTTATTCTTTAAGGTGAACTGTAAAATAATTTTGTTCCCTATCTCATTGGGATTTAGGCTATGATAGTGGTAATATAAGATAATTTGGGAGAAAATGACATTTTTAATTTTAATTTTAATTTATTTTTTAAATATGTTTTTATTGATTTCAGAGAGAGGGAGGGAGAGGGAGAGAGAAACACCAATGATGAGAGTCATTGATTGGCTGCCTCCTACACACTCCCTACTGGGGACCGAGCCTGCAACCCGGATGTGTGCCCTGACCGGGAATGGAACCATGACCTCCTGTTTCATAGGTTAGTGTTCAACCACTGAGCCATGCTAGCCAGGCAAAAATGACATTTTTAAAACTTCAATAAAGAAAAATCTTTTTTCAGGCCTTTTTATTTTTCTCAGTAAGGTGGTATAATTGATTTTCATATTGGTGGCACACACTCCTGGTTGAAGTTTCTGGATATTCATGTTAATCGGGCCCTAGTCGTTGGATTAATTGTGAGGTTACTCAGGGTAATGGATTGACTGAGCCAGAGATGGCTGTACTGTTGAGCCTCACTGAGGCTGGAATTTGGCTCAGGACTTGGAAGCTCCCAGCTCTCGCTCTATGCAGTTTTCTGGTTTTCACATCAAAAGCAGAAGTTTGTTGATGCTCTGCCATTAGGGCATTAAAGCAGCTCCCTGTCTAGTTCCATGTTCCTGCGGTTGAACCACCTAGCCATTTACTTGTTAATCTTTTCTCATTTTCACAGCTTTGGCTTATTCAAAACCAATCTGACTTCCCTTCACCCATGGCGCATCTTGGCCCTTCCTGCCTCATAGCCACTCTCACATTATGAATTCAGATTCAGTTCCCTCTGCAACCCTTTAGGCCTGTGGGTGGTAAGGGCCTCTGACTTTGCTCGCTGCAGAGTACCACATCTTTCCTTGTTCGTTTCCTTCAGCCCTGCCCTCACCGTTGCACACAGTCCAGGGGGTTGCAATGTGGTATGTGGCTGGACTGGCACCTGCCTCAGGTCTGGCCTGGCCAGGACACACCCAGCTTACAAAGGCGAGTGTCCTTGTAATGTTGGAGGTGACAGATGGAGTCTTACTACTGTATTTCTAGCCTGTGGTCCCCTCTGAGGGACAGAATGGAGTTAGTCCAATAGGGCTGGAGGAAAATGGGTTCTTTTCAAATTCTAAAGTTTTTTTAAAAAGTCACAAAGTGTTTCTAATACGAACACTATATGAAAATTTTAAAAGTGTGCAGTTGAAAGGTTAAGCACAAAAGAGTGTAAAATTCAAAGACTAACAAACGATAAAACTGATGCCCATGCACTCGTTTTCTAGCCTAATTAGCACATGTAGCAGCACTGGGAAGGGTGCGCAGTGCGAGCTGAGTAGCACCTCAAGTGCTCCAGGACTTGTAGACTATCTGCAAAAATGTGCTTCTCTGATTTTATGTTTTCCAAGCCAGTGGCGTTATTAAACTCCCAGTGTCAGTTTCTCTGATGTTTCAGGGTCTAATGAGGTTGGTGTTACTATGACATGAACAGCAGATACAAATAGCAACCAAGCAGTGAACATATTAAATTTTTGATTATTGATTTTTAATAATGTCCCATTTTTCTTTAAAAAAGAAGCAGGCTCCCTTGGGGGTAGTAGCTCCTTTATGTCTGCTGAGACATGGTTTTGATCTACCCATAAATAACATCAGTTATTATTTATGGTTCCAACTTACTCTGGGATTCCGCTTACTGTTGGGTTCTGTTGACTGCTTTCTCTTTAGTGTCTCCCCTTGCCCTCTGTTGCTGAGTGTCCTTTATATCTTACATTCAAACTCCAGAGGGACAAAGAATCTATGTGGTCAGCAGGAGGATGCTGTGCTGGTTTGGTGGAGCATTGTCCAGCTGCCCCTCCTCAGTACCTAATGTAGATGGGATACATTTATAAAAATGGGGCTGAATCTCATGGTTTGACTTGGACAATTCCCTGAAAACTGTTTACCCCAAGACAAGGGGACTGCACTGCCCCTCATTACATTATGAATTCTCCTGGACAAAAACTGCCCAGCGCTGTATTTTGCTATGGGTCTGTGGCCTGTAGTACTGAATAAATCTTCTCTGACACCTTTATTTCTCTCACCATGGTGTCCAATCAGTCAAGTCCTGCTGAGCTTATCTCCCAAACTCTACCAGATATGTTCACTCCTTTCTCTCCCAGCTTCCCGTGCTTTAGTCAGAGCCACAGTCACTTTTGCTGGGACCATTGCTGTGAGCTTGCTTCCAGTCTCATATTCCTCTAATCAGGGTCATTGTGCACAGTTGGGCAGTTTGTATACTGCACACAGGTGGCTGATCCAGGAGGTTCAGAGGGCTGAGGTATAGCCTGTGCCCTGGTGTGGACCTGTGTTTACCTGGAGAGAGTACCTTTGCAATTTGCACAAAGGCGCCACATAATTCTGGTGGCATAGACCTGTACTGTCCAAGATAGTAGTCACTAGCCAAATGTGGTTATTTAAATTTTAATGAATTAAAATAAGTAAAATTTAAAGTTCAGGTCCTCAGTCATACTAGCCATGCTGCAAATGCTCAATAGTCACATGTACTAGTGGCTACTGTATTGGAGAGTGCAGATGAAGATTCCCACCATTGCAGAAAGTTCTGTTGGACAGAACTGGATAGACTGCTTCTAGGCCATTCGCTGTACAATTTGCTAGTGTGAGCAATCTTTAATGAAAATCGGGACATGTCCTCTTGCTTAAAAGCCTTCAGTGATTTCCACTTCGGTCAGCAGCTATCAGTTAGCTGGTGGAGAATCAATTTTGTGGGTCACAGGAAGTATTGAAAACAAAACAGCAAAACAGCAAAAAAGAATAGAATGGAAAGCACACATGGGTCCTTAGTATTGCTTGGTAAAATTTTTTTTTCAGCTATATCCGTATTTCTTTATTTCTATATCCAGATGTCCATCTCTCTCTATTTCAGTGTCTATATGATGTTCTACTTGGTCACAACGGAAAAAGTCTTTCTAATTGTGCGTGGTTGACAAAACAGTTTGAAAAACACGGGCTTATGATACACGCAGTCTGAGCTCCTTAACCAAGCGTGTAAGGCCCTCTGTGCTGTGAACCCTCCCTAACACCTTTCTGACTCTCAACACTGTCTTGCACTATGTTTCATTAATTCAGAACTGCTCGTGATTTCACCTAAGACACTAAGCTGCATTTCTTTCATCTGTGTGCCTTTGAATCCTCTCCTTGGACCTGCTGATTCCACCTTCTCGTCATCTGGACAACTTCTCATGCAAGCCTCCGCTGGAGCAGCAGGAATCCCGCCGTGAAGCTGCAGAGCAGGCCGCGTGCCCTCCCCACGCGCCGCGGACTTGGGTTGCCAGGGCTGTACCGCTGTCAGAATTTATTCAGGTGTTTGTTGCCGGCACTCTACTAAGTTCTTTCAGTGCAAGTATTATCTTACTCGTCTTTGTATTTCAAAGGAGAAGCACAGTACCTGGAAGATGCTAGGCTCTCATTCAATAGATATTTGTTGAAAGAATTAACAAGGTAAGGAATGAGAAATCCATCAGCGGCGCGGACACTGTCGGTGCGACGCAGACTCCTGCCATCAGGGGGCGCCGGCGCACCTGGGCCAG